TCTTTCCTGCCCGGGCTGGCTTTGAACTGCGATCCTCAGATCTCAGCCTCCTGAGTAGCTAGGATTACAGGCGTGAGCCACCAGCGCCCGGCTCTTTGACACTCTTATCTCCAATAAACCACCAGAAAACCAACCAGAAGTGGCGCTGTGGCTCAAGTGGCAGAGTGCTCGCCTTGAGCTGAAGTGCTCAGGGACATTGTCCAGGCCCAGAGTTCAAGCCCACAACTGACAAAAAAACAACAACAAAAATAAACAAAAAACGATACTGCCAGCATCAGGATGCCTCAATGTCAGTAAAAGTAACAGGACCATCCTCCAACATGGCATAGGAAATAAGTCCAGATCATCCTTTTTAAAATTTTATACAATTAATCTTGCTTTGTGTTTTCAGAAATGTCTACAGTCTTAATGTAGCTCAAAGGACTTTAGATTATGTTTCTTTATTATTTATTTTTGTTGGCCATGAGGCTTGAACTCCACCTAGATGCTCTACCACTGGAGACAGTGCCATTTTTGATTATAGGATTATAGGTATGAGTACCTTGTTTGAAGCTGTCCCTGAACTTTTTGCTCAAGGCTAGTGCTCTACAGCACCACTTCCAGCCTTTTTTTTTTTTTGTAATTTATTGGAGTCTTATGGGTTGGGAATTTAGCTCACTGAGAATTTACCTGGCAAGTTCAAGGCCCAGGGTTCAGTCCTCACCTCAGAAAAAACATTGTTTGCTGGGTGCTAATGACTCTTGCCTATAATCCTACCTACTCAGGAAGCTGAGATCTGAGGATCATGGTTCAAAACCAGCCCAGGCAGAAAAGTACGTAAAACTCTCATCTCCAATAAACTACTCAGAGAAAGCTGAAAGTTGTTGGACACACAGGCAGCAAAGATGGCGCTGTGAGGGAGTTGAGTGGGCAGAGCCCACTGTGGTTCAAGTGGTAGCCTTAAACTGAACAGCTAAGGAACGGCTCCCAGGCCCAGAGGTCAAGCACCATGACAAAAAAAAAATGCACTCATTACCTTGCCCATGTAATTGTAATCCCTCTGTGTGGTATTATTCACAATAAAGAAAAAAAAAAAGAGTCTGGGCTGGGAAGGTGGCTCAGTGGTAGAGTGCTTGCCTTGTATGCCTGAGGCCCTGAGTTCCATTCCTCAGTACCACATAAGCAAAAAGAAAAAAACCGGAAGTGGCGCTGTGGCTCAAGTGGTAGAACACTAGCCTTGAGCTGAAGAGCTGAGGGACAGTGCCCAGGCCCAGAGTTCAGGCCCCATGACTGAACCAAAAAAAAAAAAAAAAAATAGTCTTGTGGGGGCTGGGAAGGTTGCTCAGTGGTAGAGTGCTTGCCTCTCAAGCTGAGATTCCTCAGCTTCACATAAATGGAAAAAGTCGGAGTGTCACTGTGGCTTAAGTGGTAGAGCGCTAGCCTTGAGCTGAAGAGTTGAGGGACAGTGCCCAGGCCCAGAGTTCAGGTCCCACGACCAACCAAAAAAAAAAAGAGTCGTGGACTTTCTTGCCCTGGCTGGCTTCAAACCACCATCCTCAGATCTCAGCCTCCTGAGTAGTTAGGATTACATGTGAACCACCATCCCCTGCTCCAAAGTTGTTTCTTCCAGATTAGACTCCTTGACCATTCAGTTTAGCAATCTGGCTGGGAATGTGGCTTAGTGGTAGAGTGCACACATTAAACCCTGAGTTCAATTCCTCAGTACCACATAAACAGAAAAAGCCAGAAGTGGTAGTGTGACTCAAGCATTAGAATGCTAGCCTTGAGCAGAAAGCTCAGGGACAGGGCTGGGAAGGTGGCTCAGTGGTAGAGCTCTTGCCTTGCATGCATGTAGTCCTGGGTTCGATTCCTCCACACCACATTAAGCAGAAAAAAAAGCCAGAAGTGGCACTGTGGCTCAAGTGGTAGAGTGCTGAAGAGCTGAGGGACAGCGCCCAGGCCCAGAGTTCAGGCACACAACTGGACAAAAAAAAAGAAGAAAGCTTAGCTTAGGGACAATGCCTGGGTCCTGAGTTTAAGCCCCAGGATTTGGGGGGGGGGGGGAGTTGGAATCTTTGCTGCTCTTTCTGATTATAAACAGAAAGGAGAGTGTTTCTTACATCTCTCTGTTGGTTGCAGGTATGCTTTCTCTATGCCGAAAGAAAAACAAACTCTAGTCCCTCTACTGGGTTCCCAGCTAACTCTCTGATGTCAAACCCCTAACGGAGGGTGCTTTCTTCTAAAGACAAAGAGAACGCTGTCCAAGAAACGCTGGGTCAGAGCAAAGTCCCAGGTCCTGAGCTTGGGTGGCACTCAGGGACTTGGGACAGAAGGTGATTATCGGGAATGCGGAGGCCCAGGGCTGGGGACTTCTTCAGCTGGTAGCTCACTACACGTTGCCACGGTTCTAAGATACAAAGCCCCCCACGGACCTCCAGGGACTCGGATTTTCCACAAATCTCAAAGATGGGCATAATGCCCATCTTTTCCCTCCTGTTGCTACTCTGGGGGGGCCTGGCCCCGAAGCAGACCTGGGCAGGCCTGGGTGAGTAGGGTGGGGAGACGAAGTACCCAGCTGGGAAGGGCCCCAGGGTCTCCGCGATGGTGTGGGGCCCGGAAACGGAGCCCCACGGGTCGCCATTTGGGCTATAGTCTGTCCTGACTTCCCCCCCCCCCAAGTTTTCCACACCCCTCTTTCCTCTCCTACTCATAACCCTTCTTGTCCGCCTTCCTTTTCCATCTCCTGAACCCTGCGACCCGTCCTTCTCTGCGGGTCGCATCAACCTGGGAACCCGGGAGTGTGTGGCGTGCGGGGCGCTGCGGGGCTCAGCGCTGCCGCCCGCAGGCTTCCACTCCTTGAAGTACTTGGACACCGCGGTGTCCCGGCCCGGCCGCGCGGACACACGCTTCATCACCATTGGCTACGTGGACGACACCCCGTTCGCGCGCTACGACAGCGAAGCCCCCAGCCCGAAGATGGAGCCGCGGGCGCCGTGGGTGGAGCCGGCGGGGACCCAGCATTGGGAGCAGCAGACGCAGTACTGCAAAGCCAATGCGCAGACCTTCCGGATTCAGCTGCGGACCCTGCTGGGCTACTACAACCAGAGCGGGGACGGTGAGTGAGCCAGGGCCCGGGTGGGCGGCCACCTCCCCACGCCCAGCCCCAGTCCGGGCTCCACCGCTGGGCCGGGGGCTTTGGATGCTCCCCGGAGGGGGAGGGGTAACGGCGAGAAATCCGACCCAGTTTAATTTTCAGTTTAACAGGAAATCACATGTTCGGGGCTGATCCTCAGGGGCGGGTCCAGGGGCGGGGCTGATCCTCGGGGGCGTGGCGGGGCTGATCCTCAGGGCGGGGCGGGAGTGGGGCTGATCCTCGGGGGCGGGGTCAGGGGCGTGGCTGATCCTCAGGGGCGGGGCCAGGCTCTCACACCTACCAGAGGATCTGCGGCTGCGACGTGGGACCCGACGGACGCTTCCTTCGCGGGTACCGAACCGATGCCTACGATGGCGAGGATTTCATCTCTTTGAACGAAGACCTGAACACCTGGACCGCTTCGGACACCGTGGCTCAGATCACCCGGCGCAAGTGGGAGGCAACAGGTGAAGCAGAACAAGAGAGAGCCTACCTGGAGAAGGAGTGCGTGAAGAGGCTCCTGAGATACCTGGAGAATGGGAAGGAGGCGCTAAAGCGCGCAGGTATGAGGGGCCTCAGGGCAACTCTTCTATCTTGCCCTGGGGAAGAGGCCCCAGTGTCTGGGATAGAGCTGGAATCCTGTCTGCCCCTCTCTTCCATGGGAACAAAGAAGAAACACTTGGGTTTTCAAATCCAGTGCCAGAGAATGACTTAAGCAAAGGCTGTCTCTTCTCTCGGGATGAGCGCCAGTGGCTCACACCTGTAATCCTAGCTACTCAGGAGGTTGAGATCTGAGAATAGAAATTCAAAGCTGTCCTGGGCAGGAAAATATGTGAGACTCTTATCTCCACTAAACTACCAAAAAAGCCAGAAATGGAGCTGTGGCTTAAGGGGGTAGAGCTCTAGCCTTAAGTAAAAGAAATTTGGGACAGCATCCAGGACTTACGTTCAAGTCCCAGGACCAGCACACACACAAAAAAATTTTAAAGGGAAGTAGAATAGATTTCAAGAAATAACCGATCAGTCCGGAGCTGGTGGCTCACACCTGTAATCATAGCTACTTAGGAGGCTGAGATCTGAGGATCACAGTTCAAAGCCAACCCCGGGCAGCAAAGGCCCTGAGACTCTTATCTCCACTAAACCACCAGAAAACCAAAAGTGGCACTGTGGCTCAAAAGGTAGAACGTGAGCCTTGAGCTGAAGAGCTGAGGGACAATGCCCAGGCCCAGAGTTAAAGCCCCATGACAGAAAGAAAGAAAGAAAAAGAAATAACCTATCAGTAGTTTCCCTTGATTCTGGAGCTTATTTTGAAACTTGACTCTCTCAGGCCTTGTATTTTGACTCTCATCCATGCAATTAGAGGTCTGACTTCAAATGTGCTGACCACTATGTCAGAATCAGGAGTACCTGCTCTCCTGGTCAAAAACACTGAGTCTTTTACCTTGGATTGGCTCACCCTGATTCCAGAACTTTCCTTGGATTTGATTAGCTCACATGTCCATGTGTTCTGCATTCGTACCCCTGTTCCATTCTCAGGAGGGTCACTTGAGTGGGCTGGAGTGGCTCAGGAAATGCAACTTTCCTGAATTTTCCATCACTTCCTCTCAGATCCCCCAGAGACAAATGTGACACACCACCCCACCTCTGACCATGAGGTTACCCTGAAATGCTGGGCTCGGGGCTTCTACCCCGCGGAGATCACTCTGATCTGGCAACGGGATGGGGAAGACCAGACCCAGGAAATGGAGCTTGTGGAGACCAGACCTGCAGGAGATGGAACCTTCCAGAAGTGGGCAGCTATCGTGGTGCCTTCTGGGGAGGAGCAGAGATACACATGCCATGTGCAGCATGAGGGGCTGCCTGAGCCCCTCAGCCTGACATGGGGTAAGCAGGGGGACTGGGCACCGAGCACACGTGTGCTCAGAGACAGGAGTTGTTACAAAGATCCTCATTAGAGTCAGAGCTGAGAGAAGGGGGACAGGCCTTTTCACTTTCTCTTCTCTCCCTAGAACTACCTCCTAAGTACAAATTCCCCATCACAGAAATTGTCCTTGTCTTGGTTCTCTTTGGATGTGTGGTGGCTGCTGCAGTGTGGAGGAAGAAAGCAGGTAGGGATGGGAAAGGATCTTTATTCATTTTGTTCGTGGGTGTGCATGCATGCAGGGTGTGTGTGTGTGTGTGTGTGTGTGTGTGTGTGTTCGTTCGTGTGTTCTTGTCCTGGAGTTTGAACTCAGGGTCTAAGCACTATCCTTCAGCATTTTTGTTCCAGGCTAGCATTCTACCACTTAAGTCACAGCTCCACTTTGATTTTTTTTGGTGGCTAATCGGAGATAAGAGTCTCATAGACTTTCCTGCCTGGATTGGCTTTGAACTGTGATTCTCAGCTGTCCTCTTCAGTAGCTAGAATATAAGCATGATCCACTAGCTCTTGGCCTTTAGTTTTCTTCTTTTTTTTGATCAGTCATGGGGCTTGAACTCCGGGCCTGGGCCCTGTCCCTCAGCTCTTTAGCACATGGTAAGCACTCTACCACTTGAGCCACAATGCCACTTCTGGTTTTCTGATGGTTAATTGGAGATAAGAGTCTCATGGACTTTCCTGCCCAGGCTGGCTTTGAACCATGATTCTTAGATCTCAGCCTCCTGAGTAGCTAGGATTATAGGTGTGAGCCACCAGTGCCTGGCTAGTTGGTTTTTTTTTTTGGGGGGGGGGAGGTGTGGTCGTGGGGCCTGAACTAGGCCTGGACGCTGTCCCTCAGCTCTTCAGCTCAAGGCTAGTTGCTCTACCACTTGAGCCACAGTGCCACTTCTGGCTTTTTTCTTTTTGCTTATATGGTGCTGAGGAATCGAACCCAGGGCCTCATGTATGCAAGGCAAGCACTCTACCACTGAGCCACCTTCCCAGCCCCACACCTGGCTAGTTTTATTCTTCCCCTTTTAAATGTAAACTCTGGCCAGGTACTGGTGGCTTATGTCTATGGTCTCAGGTATTGCAGAGGCTGAGATCTGAGGATTGAGGTGTGAAGCCAGCATATGCAAACAAATCTACCAGTCTTTAATTAGCAAAAAAGCTGGAAATGGAGTAGAGAACTAGCTGTGAGCAGGAAAAAGCTGAAGATCATCACTGGGCCCTGAGTTCAAGTCCCAGTACTTGAACACAGACACACCAGACACACACATCTATACACACAAAGTGAGTTCTGCCTCATTAATGGAAGGACCATCCACAAATACACAAGCTTCTCAGCCTGGGGCCCTCTGTCCTACACTGGAAAGAAAATTGAAAGCTAAGGATAAATATGTCAACTTGATGGTGGCAGGCTTTGATTCTTAGAAGAGAGGCATGAGAATAGGCCCCTGCTAAGGAGAGACCTTCAGAAGAATATTTGGTTCAATCCCTGCACATTTCCCTTCCTCCTGCCTTCTCATTCTGGGCCTGTCACAGTTCTGGAAATTTCCCCAGAGCTCATGGTTTGTCACAGAATTTTTTTTTCCCTTGAAGGCAAAAAAAAAAAAAATGTTGGGCACTTGGTGGTTCATACCTGTAATCCTAGCTACTTAGGAGGTTGAGATTTGAGGACTGCAGTTGGAAGCTAGCCCAGACAGGAAAGTCCTTGAGACTGGTATTTCCAATTAACTACCAAAAATACCTGAAGTGGAGCTGTGGCTCAAGTGGTAGAGTGTTAGCTTTGAGTACAAAAGCTCAGGGACAGTACCCACACCCTGAGTTCAAAGCCTCAGACCAGCAGGCACACGTGCATGCATGTGTGCACACGCACACACACAAGAAGAAGCTACATTCAGGATTCAAATCAAATCAGTATGGGCAGGTACATTGAGACTGGTGGGGTAGTGTAGATGGGAGCCCCAAGGGAAATCACCCCAGTCCATGCATCTTTAGCCATGGGCTCTGAGCTATGAATATGCTTCTTTTTTTCCACAGGTGCTAACAGTGTCCAGGACTCTGCTGCATTTCTCATGGGAAGGAGGTAAAACACAGTAGGGCTTGAATTGGGGGCAAAAAAGAAGGGATAGCGTCCAGGCCCAGAGTTCAATCCCCATAACACACACACACACACACACACACACACACACACACACACACACAAATTATCTTTAAGTAATTGTACCCAGGAGTTGCTGTTTAACATAGCAGTTTATGAATATAGTGCATCTTGATCAATATCACCCCTTTCAACATTCTCACCCACCTCTCCCAATCCACCCTCTTCCCTAGAACTCTTTTAGTGAGTGATGGATTGGATAGACTCTAGCCATTATAGCAACTGCACTGAATTAGCTCATCCCTCTTTTGTTCCTAGTATTAAAGAGCTGCCTGTGTGGGACTGACACAAGATTAGTGCATGTCTCCCTGGTGATGTGAAGATTACTGGATTCTTTTTCTGCAAAGATGTCTGCATTCCTGTAGGCATAGTGTGAAGAAGTGGGGAGGCCAGGCCCCCCTTCCTACCAGGGCACTGTCCCCATACTGACCTGCCTTCTCCACAAACTTCTGTTCCTCATAGCTTTATGGTACATTGGGCTATAACATCTGACTCTACACTAAAAGTAAGAATCTAAATGTAGGGGCTGGGAAGGTGGCTCAGTGGTAGAGCGCTTGCCTTGCATGCATGAGGCCCTGGGTTCGATTCCTCAGCACCACATAAACAGAAAAAGCCGGAACTGTGGTTCAAGTGGTAGAGCGCTAGCCTTGAGCTGAAGAGCTAAGGGACAGTGCCCAGGCCCAGAGTTCAGGCCCCACGACCAGAACCCCCCCCAAAAAAAGAATGTAAATGTAAATTTGTTATTGTAAATCCTTAGTATGAGGGTTTGATGAGTTAATTTCTGAAAAAGTTTCTTAAAGCCAGGCCAGTGGCTCTCATCTGTAATCCTAGCTACTCAGGCTGAGATTTCAGAATCCCTGTTTGAAGTCAATCCATGCAGAAAGTCTGTGATACTTTTATCTCCATTTAATTACCAAAAAGGCAGAAGTGGAGCTGTGATTCAAGTGGTTGATCAATAGCCTTGAGCAAAAAAGCTCAGGGAGGCTGGGAAGGTGGCTCAGTGGTAGAGCACTTGTCTAGCATGCATAAGGCCCTGGGTTCGATTCCTCAGCACCACATAAGCAGAAAAAGCCGGAAGTGGCGCTGTGGCTGAAGTGGTAGAGTGAGCTGAAGAGCTGAGGGACAGTGCCCGGGCCCAGAGTACAGGCCCCATGACCAGCCAAAAAAAAAAAAAAATTAAAAAAAAAAGCTCAGGGACAGCATGCAGGCTCTTAGTTCAAGCCCCAGGACTGGCATACAAAAAGCCATATCAGTATAAAATACTGTCTGAAATGTAACTACCAAGAGAATCATGAGGTTTTTCACTTTATCTGGGAATAAAGGCTTCTTTAAGGAGGAGAGTACTCAGAGAGTCTTTCTTTCTTTCTTTTTTCCCGGTTGTGGGGCTTGAACTCTGGGCCTGGGTGCTGTCCCTCAGCAATTCAGCTCAAGGCCAGTGCCCTAACCACTTGAGCCACAGCACCACATTTGGTCTTCTGAGTAGTTTATTGGAGATAAGAGTCTCAGGGCCTTTCCTGCCCAGGCTGGCTTTGAATCTCGATCCTCAGATCTCAGCCTCCTAAGTAGCTAGGATTACAAGCATGAGACACCAGTGCCCAGCTTTTCTTGGTTTTGAAAATCAAAAAGATGGGGCTGGGAAGGTGGCTCAGTGGTAGAGTGCCTGCCTTGCATGCATGAGGCCCTGGGTTCGATTCCTTAGCACCATATAAGCAGAAAAAGCCGGAAATGGGGCTGTGGCTCAAGTGGTAGAGCACTAGCCTTGAGCTGAAGAGCTGAGGGACAGCGCCCAGGCCCAGAGTTCAGGCCCCACAACCGACAAAAATAAATAAATAAAATAAAAATAAAAAAGACCATGTGGAAAGTTATGAAGGACCTGGAAATGTGCCCAGGGGGCAAAGTGGGCCTCCAGGGCTTCTATTTGCTAATTAGGCCTCATCATTGCAAGTCATGACTTTTTTTTAGAACACAGGAAGCAGAAGGGAAAAGAGGCAGAAGAGCAATTGCTTCTGCCCTAGTAGGCGGAAGCACTCAAAGAATCTGCCTCCACATCTTCCTGTATAAAGAGTTCATGAATAAGCTGGGTGCTTGTGGCTCATTCCTGTAATCCTAGCTATTCAGGAGGCTGAGATGTGAAGATTGTAGTTCAAAGCCAGCCCAGACCCGAAAGTTTGTGAGATTGTTATATCTAACTAACCACCAAAAAACTGGAATGGAGCTGTAGCTGAAGTAGTAGAGCATTAGCCTTCACCAAAAAAAGCTAAGGGGTAGCACCCAGGCCCTGAATTCAAGACCCACAACTAAACAAACAAAAAGGCTCAGGGAGGACTGAGAATGTGGCTTAGTAGTAGAATGTTTGCCCTGTATGCATGAAGCCCTGGGTTTGATTCCTCAGTACCACAAAAACAGAAAATGCTGGAAGTGGCATTGTGGTTCAAGTGGTACAGTGCTAGCCTTGAGCAAAAGAAGCCCAGACCCTGAGTTCAAGCCCCAAGGGCTGGCAACAAGAAAAAAAAAAAAAGATTTTATAAACAGATCAGAACTCTCAGAAAACATACAGGTTGGAACTTGGAGGTTTGGTAGAGCATCAACCATTAACAGAAAAAAGCTGGGTGGGAGACCCTGAGTTCAAGCCTCAGTAATGGCCCACATACACAAGAAAATGTGTAGGGAACATCCAACTTTCATCTGACAATCAGAGAAAAATGACAGGCCAGGCACCAGTGGCTCACTCCTGTAATCCTAGCTACTCAGGAGGCTGAGATCTGACGATCAGTTTAAAGCCAACCCAGGCAAGAAAGTCCATGAGACTCTTATCACCAATTAGCCACCAGAAAACCGGAAGTGGTTCTGTGGCCCAAGTGGTAGAACACTTTCCTTGAGCTGAAGAGCACCCAGCCCCAGAATTCAAACCCCGTGACTGACAAAAAAATAAATAAAATTAAATGACAAGTGAGCTTTTAAGATTTATATTGCTTGTATATTTTTCCCCCAATAAAGTCCTTTTATAGTTATGTGTGTTTATGTGTGTATGTATATAACAAATAAAAAATAGTGAACATTGCTACACTTGAAATAGACTGTTCTATCCCTTGCAGGGCCAAGAAGGAAAAAAAAAAAAAAAAACTATGTTCGCTTCGGCAGCACATATACTAAAATTGGAGCGATACAGAGAAGATTAGCATGGCCCTTGCTCAAGGATGACATGCAAATTAGTGAAGCATTCCATATTTTAAAAAAAAAGGGGAGGGGGGATGGGAAGGTGGCTCAGTGGTAGAGTGCTTTCCTTGCATGCATGAAGCCCTGGATTCAATTCCTTAGCACCACTAAACAAAAAATGCCCAAAGTGGAGCTGTGGCTCAAGTGGTAGAGCGCTAGCCTTGAGTTGAAGAGCTGAGGGACAGCGCCCAGGCCCAGAGTTCAAGCCCCACGACCGACCTCCACTCCCCAAAAAATCTATAAATAAGCAATTCATAAGTTTCAAATTTTCTTCCTTCTGAACATGGCTACAGTGACTCAAACCTTCAATTATAGCTACTTGAGACGGTGTCACCAGCTGAAGAGCTGAGGGACAGCACGCAAGCCCAGAGTTCAGACCCCATGACTGGCAAAAAAAGAAAAAGAAGAAAATTTCTCCTGCATAGTAGAATGAAAACAACCTGTCTGTCCTAGTTATGTGAACCATACCTTTGTCCAGAGTATCGACACTGTGTGCACTGCACCTTCCTTAGTTATATAGAACTCTACTTGGCTATCAAATCCACTGTCTCATATTGACTACTCCATTTACCTCATCAGTAGATACTGTATCATCTCCTGGCATCCCACCAAGAGTATCGTACAATAATACATTTAAGATAGAGATAAAAACTACTCACATAGGTTTTATCATAGTATATTGTTATAGTTGCTCTATCTTAAATTGGTTTTTCTTACTTTGCCCTATTTATTAAAATTGAGTGTAGGCATATGTGCACATAGGAAAACATATATATATATATAGAGAGAGAGAGAGAGAGAGAGTGTTCAGCACAATGCTGGGTTCAGGGTCCACATGGGATTCTTGGAACATGTCTCCTCCCCTATTCATAACCCCAGGTAGGGTGAGGGGCTATTGTATTCTACTGTATTGAGGTAATTATTTTGGATTCATACAAACTCCGTGTTTAAGAATGAAGAAGTGGAGGTGTAGCTCAAGTGGTAGAGCACCAGTCTTGAGAGGAAAAGTTACACAAGAACATAAGGCCCTGAGTTCAAGCCCTAATAATGGTGCACACAAAAAATGAAGATCGTTATAAAAAATTTATTATTAAGTAGTTGTACAAAGAAGTGACAGTTCCAAATGTTACCTAGGAAAGGTCATTTTAAAACATCACCAACGGGGCTGGGAAGGTGGCTCAGTGGTAGACCACTTGCCTTGCATGCATGAGGCCCTGGGTTCAATTCCTTAGCACCACATAAGCAGAAAAAGCCTGAAATGGCGCTGTGGCTCAAGTGGTAGAGTGCTAACCTTGAGCTGAAGAGCTGAGGAACACTGTCCAGTGATCAGTCCCCACAACCGACCAAAAAATAAAAATAAAAAATCACCAGCCAGGCCCTGTAGGCTCACCCCTGTAATCCTAGCTACTCAAAAGGCTGAGAGCTGAGAATCACAGTTTGATAACCACCAGTTATCACTGTAACTCAAGTGATAGAGCACTAGAGCACTATCCTTGAGTAGAGGATAGCACCCAGGCTCTGAGTTCAAGCCCCACAACTGACCAAAACAACAACAACAAAAAACATAACAACCCCAGAGTCACAAATCTATTATTGGGAACAGCCTAAATTCAATGACATTTATTAATTTATTTTTATTTTTTAGCCGGTCATGGACCTGAACTCTGGGCCTAGGCGCTGTCCCTCAGCTCTTCAGCTCAAGGCGAGCGCTCTACCGCTTGAGCCACAGCGCCACTTCCGGCTTTTTCTGTTTATGTGGTGCTGAGGAATCGAACCCAGGGCCTCAGGCATGCAAGGCAAGCACTCAACCACTGAGCCACCTTCCCAGCCCTTCAGTGACATTTAGATACATTTGTATGAAGGGGTCAACTCCCTTCTTTTACAAATTAGATTTCCAGCCATTCAGGGTTTATCAATCTCTGTGGCTACTGCAATTAATAAAGGGAAAAGTATCTTGGGGATCTTGTGATTGTGGGCACAACTTCTAAAAGAGAAAGCTCTGCTTACTGCATTCCTAGGCCAGCTCACTTTCCGATGTTGTATTCCCAGTGAAATGAACTTTCTCCTAGAAGAGTCTTGAAGGACAGCTAGGGATTAGGAATATGTATAGTTTAACAATCCAAACGAGACTAAGAGGCTGAGCCCTGCCTAGAGCTCTTTCCCCAGGTTTCCTCATATTGCCAGTTGGCCAGGAGTAAGGAAGGTGGATATGACCAAGATCCCTCTTTCCACGAGGGGAGGGAAGGAGATGGGGAAACCCCCATCTAGAAATTTCACTTCCTCTTTAGGCTTGGATACTCACGACGCAATACCAGGTCTCACTCGCATTGGTTATTACAGGAGTCAACCAGCGTTTCAGCGGTTCCAGTTCCCATGCACTTGTCAGGACTTTCCCCAGTCTTGAAGATGGGGGTGATGGCGCCACGGACACTCCTTCCCCTGCTGCTCTTGGGAACCCTAGGTGTGACCGAGACCTGGGCTGGTGAGTGCGGAGTGGGGAGGGAATTGGCCTTTGCTGGGGCTGAGCTAGGGGGCCGTCAGACTCCTCACCTCGCCCACCCCGGCCCCCTCCTCCCCTCCGGCTCCGTCCACCCCGATCCCGGGGTCCCGCGCCCGGGCTCAGCCGCTCTCCGTCCCCAGGCTCACGCTCCCACTCCCTGCGGTATTTCGACACGCTGGTGTCCCGGCCCGGCCGCGGGGAGCCGCACTTCACCCTCGTCGGCTACGTGGACGACACGCCGTTCGTGCGCTTCGACAGCGACGCCGCGAGTCCGACGATGGAGCCGCGGGCGCCGTGGATGCACCTGGAGCCGCGCGAGTACCGGGAGCAGCAGACGCGGAACGTCCGGAGGCACGCGCAGACCTTCCGGATTCAGCTGCGGACCCTGCTGGGCTACTACAACCAGAGCCGGGACCGTGAGTGAGCCAGGGCCCGGGTGGGCGGCCACCTCCCCACGCCCAGCCCCAGTCCGGGCTCCACCGCTGGGCCGGGGGCTTTGGATGCTCCCCGG